GTATGTCGTCCCTTGGCGGTCCCATTCGGCTTTGTATTATTTTCTGTCAGAAAAAAAATCACGGCATAAATTCTTGACAAGCTTTTGCGTATGTATTGGGTCGTCCATTATTTTCTACCGATTTTGTGTATATTTAATTAATAATTGCCAGTACGAGTACCCGTCATGACATATGCTATATAGAACGACCGGATACGCTCGCTCTTTCTTTAGATGTGGCCTCGGTGGAATTAGGTGCTAAAAAGTTGTGAAAAATATCTGAATAGTGTTTGAAAATACAAACACATGATAAATTTATTATGTCAATTTTTTTAAAATTTACTCCCTGCGTCCGTAGTTTAAAAAACGCTCTTATATTATGAGACGGAGAGACTAGATTCTAATGCGCGCACTTATAAACAAAACAAACACAATTATATTGTCAACAACGGTTGGAAAGTTAAAATTCCAATTCTGATTGTTCATTGCACTGTGTGTACTTTTTGGCAGGGATGCAAGCAGACACGTCCGCGCCGTCCACATCAGTCCACGAGGCCGAAAATGCACAAACTGTTGTTATTGTAATTATCGTGCTATGTCTTAATTCTCGTCATGCGGACGTTCACGGACTTGCAGACGCCATCCGCCCGCATGCCTATTTGTTTTTGTATGCAATGGTAATATCTAGAATTAAAGTTTTATGATGTAGCATATGCACTTCTGAGTGCTGATAAATAGTTACTCGCTTTTTCATCTGTCCCACCTGGTCGTCTAGGTGGTTGTAAAAGGTGATATCAAGTTTCAAATTCATCAAAGTTCAGTGATTTCACCATTTCGAAAAGGTACAACTTGGGAACGAGAATATCACCTTCGATCTGAGTACTCCACCTCTTCCCTATGACTACCGAATCTCGGGATCACAAACCTGGTTAATGGTAATGTATACTAGAGTAGCTAAGCATAGCATGTCAACATGTTTAAATTAAATTGACCTTCAAAATTGAGGGAAAATCAAAGCCTCGTTTTAATTAAAGCGCAAAACCCTAAAAAAATCACATGAATTAAAAATGACTTCTTAAACCCTAAGATTTAGGTATGAACTCATATGTAACTATGTGGCCCCATCGTAATTTTTTGCAATTTTAAAGGGAATTGTTTGGGGGCTTTGGAATTAAATTATATTAAGGTTTAATTTGCATTATATTCCTAGAAATAGAAATATAAACCCAAAAATGCTGAAACTTTTTGTGTAGTTTATCTACATCTAAATATTATTCAAAAGGTTTTGTGCTCATTTGGATCTTCAAGAAAATTTCAAAGCATTAGCAAATAAAAAACATAATAGAAAAAGGGAATGGCTTACCTGTATCTTCTGGCCCGGCACTACTCCCTATGTTCCATAATGTACCGCATATCAGTTTTTCTTAAAAGAAGTAACACAAACTTTGACCAAGTTTGTGAAGAAAAATATTTACATCTAGATTGCCAAACATACATTATTAGATTCATCATAACATTTAGTTTCATATTTTATACATTCAATATTGTAGATGTAAACAATTGTGTCCATAAACTTGGCTAAAGTTTGCAAAATTTGACTTAAGAAAAACTATACATACTAAAGCTCGAACAGTATACTACACCTTCCATTCAGACGCTTTTGTTAAAAAACGTCTTATATTATGGAACGGAAGGAGTAGTGTCAAACAACATTTTACATTATGGGATGGAGGGAGTACATGGTCGCTTTCACGTAAATTTTGCTGCGCACCACTGATTAATTAAGAGCCACGTGTTTCTGGCATAGTGGTGTTGATGTACATTTTCGTACCATGCCATGCCATGCCATTGCCATGCGTGCATGCATCGATCACAGTCACGGGTACCATGTGCACGCACCTGATCGGGCCTGAGCTGATTCCACAGTGAGTCCTGCGTAGGCAAACAGTGCAGGTTGCATGTAGCAACAGAGCCATCTACGCCGGGCATGCAGTGACATGTGATCAGAGTACACGGTGTGATCGGTGGCTGATGCGTGCATCGGCATGGCCGGTGGCCTTGATTGATTATCTAGAAGCAGCAGAGCATGCTGGCCATGCCCTGAGACCCTGACCCCCCTGTCTTGCTCCGTTCAGCACGGCTTATTCTATGCCCGTACACGTCATGTGACTGGCCATATCCATTATACATATGTGTTTTTATCTGGCAAAATACATACACATGGAAATGCACGTACGTGCATACGGTGAACACCGGCACGAGGAGGAGATTTTTGGGTCGAAAGTATCGCAGGAAGTCTACTTTTGCGTCCCATCCAAAATGAGTATCATCGTGGTTTTCGAATTTGAACTGAAGCCATGACACTTGTTTCTTCATTACAGGGAGTACAAAATACTGTAGATACTACTGTCATTGGTGAGCAAGATGTTAGTGGCCACATTATTGTTTGAGGTCTCCCATAGTCCCATGCATGTTGCCGCACGGATGAAGTACCGGATAAAAAGGTTCAAATCTAGTACAGGGAGGCAGCTGTAAATTAACTGCCGTGCAATAATGCAAGATTAGTTAATTTCTGCTTTTCGTTAGGCCGCACTGCATGCATGCCTGCTCGCACACACATCGCCCCCTGGGTAAAAATCTCATGCCAAGGCGTAATCCGGGAGTGTAATTTCCGGCCAGGCTAGCTCCCACGACCCGACCCTGCCGACCGCCGGCTCCTTTTCGCAGCTGTGTTGTGCTGCTCTCAACGTGCCATGTCGAATCTAAGGAATCTATTTTATTTTCCCTAAAGAAAAAAAAGGAATCTATTTTGTTAAAAATAGCAAAAGAGAATCCGTACTGCCATATATAGATGTTACATGGGTACCCA